CTCTCTCTCTCTCTCTCTCTCTCTCTCTCTCTCTCTCTCTCACTGTCCCACATTGTTCTTCATCTCCCTTTTTGTTACTGTTCTGGCCCTAATTCAGATTTCTTCTTTATTTTTCTTTTCTTCTCTTTTTCCTTCTCTCCATTGTCATTAGTTTTTTTGGTTTTTTTTGTACCAGGGATCGAACTTGGGTCCTTGCGCTTGTGCAGCAGGCAGTGAAACCACTGAGCTAAATCCCCAGCCCAATTGTCATTAGTTTTAAAGGAAAGTAAATACAGTTTCTAGCCTCCCTCTTGCTCTTAGGTTGTTCTGTTCTCGTCTTTGTTCTTTCATTCTGTCTTTTCCTCTTGTCTTCAACAGTTTCCTAGAGTTTGGGCAATCTTCCTCTGTCCTCTGGCCTCACTGCTAATGTTTCCCTATCCTTCTACCTATCTATCCCTCCCTCCCCAACTCCTTCTAACTCCCCACCCTGAAGGGTAAAATTGCTATATTGAAGAGTTTATTCACTGTAAACATATATTGGGCTGGTCCTCAATTTTGATTTAATTCACACAGTTAAAGGTGATAGATTAATAACTACCACAGATTGTCATTTTCTAAACTGTGCTTGATGCTTTGGTGTTGCTGATTGTATCACTTGGGCTAAGGTGTTGTGATTGATTTAATTAGTTGTCCTTCCTGGTATAATGAAAATGAGATAGCCTCAGAGCCATTAGAGACTCAAAACCTAAGGACCAGCTATACCTGGAAGACAGCTCGCAGAAGCAATCATTCCATAAGGGTTCTAAATACAAGCAACAAAGACACTTACAATTAGCAATTTCAAAGTATCAACCCAGGAATTAAACCAAGGACAGTACCAAAAACAGTTATGAGACGACATTAAAGCAAAGCACAAACTCAGACTTCCACCTCCCCCGCAAAGGCAAATTCTGGGGGAAATGAGGTGGAAAAATCTGATAATCAGCCACCTGAACACCCTGAACTGATAGCACAGGAAGTAACAAAACAGATGAATAAGACTCTAGAAAAATTCAAAACAGAAATAATTTCCCAGATAACTACAGAGATGATGAGCAGAGTGAAAGACATGATTAGAGGCTCTAGAACAGAAACAGATAAAAAATAGATGAGCTCAGAACCGTGCTGGAAGCCACGAATGCCCAGCAGAAGAAAGAAATGGAAATCATGATCGCCCAACATAAGAAAGAAATGGAATCCATGAAACATTCAAACAGATATTCAGGAGGTTAAAAACTCCAGTGAAAGTATTCAAAGCAGATTAAGGGACTGTGAAGATAGAATATCAGATATAGAAGACAGGATTGCAGTTAGTGACCATGAAAACAGAAATTTCTTAAAAATACTAAGGGACCACGAGAAATCAATCCAGCAGCTGCTAGATGATGCAAAGAAGAATAACATAAGACTGATAGGATTCCATGAAAAAACAGGAGAAAGTACAATTGACATAAAAAAAACCCTGTTCACAGAAGTAATAGAAAACTTCCCAGGCAGAGGTAGAGAATTGGATATACAGATAAGTGAGGTATATAGAACTCCAACTAGCCACACACACAAAAAAATCTACACCTAGACATATAATAGTCAAGATCCCAGAAACCCAACAGAAGAACAAAATCCTACAAGCAGTTAGAGAAAAGAAACAAATCACCTGTAAAGGAAAGCCCAC